TGTTCTAGAACAGTCTGGGTCTCTGTAACATGTCCTGTCCCTCTCTGGAGGTGCTGTTGGCCATCAGATGTCAATCATGCACTGCCTCCACCTGAGGTGGTACTGAAATAGCAATGTTAGCACAAACACTTCCAGGAGGTATAAACTACCCCATAGGTCACTTGTCTCACCCTTTGTGCAGCAAGTGTTTTACACAGCTGCAGTTTCTCATAAACAGAGAGGCAATCTGTGGTTATAATCTTGATTGCCCAGCAAATTACGGAATGCCTGAGGAAGCAGGAGGAGAATGTGCAGCTGCAGGCTGTGTGGGTTTTTCATTCTGGTTTACAGCAAGGACCGGAGTTGATCCTTTAAGATGCCTTGGGATCCTGGCACCATTTGTTGCAGCACTGGATATGTAGAATCTGCATTCTGTGCTGGGGGGGCCACCCCTGGCATTCTAGTATAACTGTGGGAGTTAAATAAGGTGCTGTTTGCTTCAGGTGCTTTAGATTATATAGCAAAGACCTGCCATGCAGCCAGAGGCAGATCCAGACACTATGTGAAGTGAGCAGGATGGCATGACAACATTTTTGTTGAAGGACTGAAGGTACATGCTTCAGTTACAGACTACTTTCTTAAGCTGCCCAGTTTTCCCTCCCTCTCCCACCCCTCCCTCCCATCTACTGTGGTCAGTGCATATGGCTGTAAATTTGGTATCAGAGACCTTTGACTTTTCTCCAGCTGCAAATCTGCCCAGCTCCATGTGATGCAGCAAGCACAGGGGTTTTCAGCTTTTGTTTCTACCATCTACAAAACATGAAAAGAAAAAAAAGGGGGCTCATAAATGGGAACCTCATGAAACTAGAGCAGAGTTACTTACATAAGTGAACTGAAAACCTACAGCAGGATCTGTTGGATATCTGACCTGGTCATCTGTCTAAACAGGATGTTTACTTACATACCCCAATGTGGTGATTGTGCTGTTCAGTTTTCCATACAGCAAAAAAAATGAAAGAGGCTTTTGATTGTGGTTTCTTACTGTCGTGCCAAAACCAGGTGGCCTTTGAGCTACCCCATTATTACTTTTCTCTAATTAAGAATTGGTAATTCAAACTTTGGTATGTGGGACATCCACACAAAGTGCCCAACTACAAGACTGCGCACACCAAAGCATTGGCTTGTCCATGCAAGTGTTTGCGAGTAGGTGACTCCCTTGGGTGACTGGCAGAGGTAAAACCCTAACACATGTGAGAGAAGTTGGAAGAATAGTGGTCCCTGTGTTTTTGGGTCTCAACCTCCAGTTTGGTGTCTCCAGCTAGATGCTTGTCTTCCTATTTTCTGGTGACTGTAAGCAGCACTTTTAGGTGGAAAATACATTTGCTTCCAAGTCTCAAAGATACTGATCAAAGGTAAAATCTCATAAAAAAGGATTTTTAAAAAAGTTGGAAAAGTTTAAGCATCTGATACTGTAATTAGGGCTGAGGGGGTATAAAAACTTAAAATTAGTTTAGCACATCACTGGATAGATGGGAAGCCATTAATGTAAATTTAGGGAACTAGTAGTTGGATTCAGTTGGTCTAATTTAAACACGATTTCTAATTCTTTTTGGTATGCATACAGAGGATTATAGGATGGCCATTATTCTGACAGGAGGGTTCTTCATACCTAAATTTTAATCCACAAATGAGTACCCTATTAAAATGTAAGCGTGTGGTGATAACTAGCACCTGATTGCGCAGGCGGGTTGGTCTAGCTACTCTGATGAGCAGCTGTGTGAATGTATTTTTTTTCTTACGCCCAGGGCCACTGAGAGGTCAGCAGGTGTCTGACCCACGGGTGGGAACTGTGCAAGGTTTGCTGATGCTGGGTGCAGATCTGAGAGCAGATGGGATCTCTCAGGTTTCCCCTCAAAGCAGGCTCTGATGGTACCCAAAAGCACAGAGAGAAGATGAAACAATTAACAGTTCCCTCTCCCTACAGTCTGGTGCTGCTAATCCAAGTTAAAATTCCTAACAGCATCTTTAGAGAACCTTCCTCTTTACATCTTGACAGCTTTCTCCTTTTGCCAAAAGAAAGATCATGCAGGTTTTCTGGGGAGCCGCCAAATGACAGCTTGACTTCACACCTGAAAAGCAAATGAATGGAGAAGGCAGCTTTAGCCTGCCTCCAGCTTGGCATAGAAATGAAGAGTGGTGGGAGCATTGGCATGAGCAGCTCCTGGAGCTGCAGCAGCAGCAGATGTGATGAGCAGAGCTCAAGCTAAAGGTACTGTGGAGGAGGGAGCATGGGGCCCATTACCGAAAGGCAAAGGTGTTACTCATCAGCTGCAAGTCTGAGGGTGAGGAGGCCTGGCCATTGCTGATTCTTGGAGATGTGGGACAAGAATGGAGCTCCACACCCGCAGCAGCCTTGAGTTGATTTGGTTGGCTTTTCTTCTCTGAGCCCTTGCAGTGAAGGCTCTGATTAGCTCTCTCAAAAGGCACATTAATGACCAGCAGGGGAGCCGACAATCAGGATTTATTCTTTAACTAGTTCACAGTCAGTAATTCTGGATGTATAACTCATGGTTTATAAACTTTGGGGGTACAGGGCACCAAGAGCAAGCCTGGATGACACTTACTTTTTTAGTCCTTGTTTTAGGGCAGGGAGTGCCAGCATCTGCTGTGAAGAGATGCAGGCAACCTGACACCGCGCTAGCACAGCCCCGTGCTGGAGCGTGGGTACTGGGTGATAGGGTACTTGTGTTCTCGAGCAGTCACCCCTCCCTTCCCCGCACATGCCATAGCAGGGGGTCTCTAGCAGGGTGTTTTGCAATTCTCAAGACTTCTTGTGAGATTAAGTCTACTGCAGCTGGAAAATATGAATTACCCTTGGCAATTCAACTGCCTGTAGAAAAATTATAGCACAGAGTCAAGTAGTTGAAGTTGTGAATTTTGGGCCATATTTAAAATTGGGAGAAAAATGCTTTACATATGAGGGCTTTTAAAGCAGTATAATGAACACTGTGCCTGACTCATCCTTCACATGGGAGAGCTAAGCGAGATAAGAGGAAATATCTCCAGGCAGACACTCCTCAAGACAGGGATTTCTATCTCATTTTTCTTTTAAGGGAAGAAACTTAAAAAGGACTGGCCCAAAGATGAAATGTTTATTGCATGACCCCAGGAGCTGTTTACAATCTGCTTCTAATTCTAGAAATCACCTGGCACCCAGGGCTATCTAGCTGGATGCCTTTGCAACAGCTTTCAAGGCACGAGAACAACTGTTTCTAGAGTACCAGGTTGGTGTACAAGGGCTGCAGCACTGGATCTTCTCTAGCTGGTGACTACCACAGAATTGTCTGTAACAGAGAGGCTGGGAAAATATCAGACTGTTGTATTCAGAGTATGTAAGGGATGTCCAATCATGCAGGGCTGCACTACACAGGCAGCAGAAGCTCTGGAGCCTCATGGGAACATGAAGCAAGTAATCACAGCTGCAATTCATTTCAAAGAGACAAATGAGCTCCCCTAGAGAAAGCTGGGACACTTCTGCTGAGAGGGCTGATTGCCTTTTCTTTTTCCTGGGGGAGGGGAAAGGCTACTTTTGGGTTCAGGTGAAGGAATTCAGTGGGAAAGCCTTCCACATTCCTCTAAGGGTGGGCATTTTCATCACAACTGTAGAGATACTGAGTGACTTGCCTGGGACATAAAGGAAGTCAGTGTTAAAGCCGGGAACTGACCAAACAGACCTCCTAACTCATGGCTTCAGTGTTGTGCTTCAGCCACGAGGCTGTCCTTCCTCCGTTTCTGCTGACCCTTCATTAATATGCTTTTCTGTTAAAGCTGAAAAGCTGACTACTTGGCAGCTGAGAATTTACCCTTCCTCTTGCCCCTGTACAATAGCAGCTTTTCAGGCCGAATCTGCACAAAAGAAACATTTTGTTCTTCCTCTGCTCATCAGAAGAGCAGAGCAGCAGCTATACTAAAAGCATGAGGGTCTGATCCTAGTTCACATTGTATTGAGGACAAAGCTTCCAGAGGTATCAATATATGTGGTGTTACACTGATGCTATGGGAAGAGTGCTGCTAGCAAGCTGCCACTGAGTAAATTAGTGCAAAATGATGATTAAAAAAAAGCGCCAAGCCTTCCTAAAATGAAGGTACATGTTGTTATTTGGTGTTGGCCCTCCAGACTAATGCTGTGGCTGGAGCCAGCTCCAGTTCCAGGGGACACCCCTGGGGCAACAACTCAGGGTGACACTGCTGCCTCTGGAGCGAGATCCAGTCACCGGAGGGATGGAACACCTCTCATCAGAAAAGGCTGAGAGAGTTGTGGTTGTTCAAGCTGGGGAAGACTGGGGAGACTTTTATTGTGGCCTTAAAGTTCTTAAAAGGGACCTGTAAGAAAGATGGGAGAGACTTTTTAGCAGGACTTGTGACAGGATGAGGGGTGATGGTTTCAAACTAAAAGAGGCTGGACCTGAGGAAGAAATTCTTTACAATGAGGCTTGGTAAAACCCTGGCACAGGTTGCCCAGAGAGGTGGTGGATGCCCCATCCCTGGAGACATTCAAGGCCAAGCTGGATGTGGTTCTGAGCAACCTGATGTAGCTGAGGATGCTCATTGCAAGGGGATTGCGCTCAGGGACCGCTGAAGGTCCCTTCCAACCCAAACTACTCTATGATTCTGTAGTTCCGGGGACCGGGCCGAGCCCCGCACCTGATCTTAAAAACAAACCAGACCCCTAAGAAAACTGCACAACAAGGCAGGGATCGCCTCTGCTTTGTACAAGCCGCTCGAGGTGAAGGAGAACCGCCCTTGCACACGCTGCAGCCGATCCGCCACCGGACCATCCCAGTTATCACCCGCGTCCCTCCGCCGGGCCGGAAGTGGGCGCTCTGCGGGACGGAGGGGAAGGTTGGGGGGGGGGGGAGGTGTTCGGTGGGAGGCGGGCGCATGCGCAAGAGGTGTCTGCCGGCCGCGTCCCGTCCACCGCCGCGGTGGGGGTCTGGCGCGCGCGCGCGCGCTTCCTGCCCGCGGCGCGAGGCCGGGCTCGGGTGGCGAGTAACGCCGTGGGGTGGGAGGGGGGAAAGGGTACAGCGCGGAGCGAAGGGAGGCGAGGAGGACGGACCGAGAGACGGACGGACCGGGTGAGAGGATGTGAAGATGGCGGAGCTGCAGATGCTGCTGGAGGAAGAGATCCCGGGGGGGCGCCGGGCCCTGTTCGACAGCTACACGAACCTGGAGCGGGTGGCCGAGTATTGCGAGACCAACTACATCCAGGTGCGGCGGGCGGGGCGCGCGCGGCATAACGGTCGCCGTCCCCGCCTAACGGTCACTGGTGCTGAGGTGGCCCCGGTTGGCGAGGCGGTGGTCATGGAGCAGCCCCACGAGGGCTGGGCAGGGTCGTGTCCTCCTCTCTACCCCGGTGTTGGCGGTGGGGCCGACTCCGGGGTCGGCGGAGCGGAGTCGTGCCACCCCTGTCCCCTTCGCGATGAGAGGGCGACGGGTGGGTGGCACTGACTGCTGCAGCCTGGGGACTGGAGAGCTGGTTCACCTCCAGCATAAACTACCCCGGTGTGACGAGGCGTTTAGATATGTAATTGATTTCTAAATTCCTTCCACTTTGTGAGCGTGTTGAATATTTATTTCGGATGGTGTCGTCTGTTGTTGCTGCTTTTCGTTCCTTTCCCACCTTCTGCTCTCCTTTGCTGGCAGCACGGAGATGGTGTGATAAACTGAGGAGGTACTGGTCTCGTGTAAATACAGCTTTTTTTGCTTGTTAATTTAGAACACAATGCTATGTGTTTTAATTGGGATATACCTGTCAGTTTATATTTCCTTTCCCAAGCAGGGTTGGGGTATTTGATAGGAAGGGCAGCTACCAAGTTGTAGGTGCAGGATGAAAGCATGATGTAGTAGAGATGATACAGAATTAGGGAGAAGGAGATTACGCCCAAGTTGCAACCGCAGTGAGTGATTTGTGTTCTGACCACTCTGAAGCCAGGTTGATGTTAGGACTTTGGGTTTTTTCTTTCTTTCTCTTTTTACTAGGAAGAGAAAAAAAATATTGTCAGCTTATGTTCATAGCAATTGTAGGGCCAAATGAAAGAGTTCCCCCCCAAAAAAGACCCCCTGAGAAGGGTCTGAATGTGTAGGAAACAGAAGAGAGGGACATGGGTTTGTGGTGTCTTGTGTGAAGGGAAGATACAAAGCGCCCCAGTCCTGGTTTTGCTTTCAGTCTCCTAAGTGGAAAATGCTTGTGTGTTTCCAGAAGACAAGTAGGGATGAGATCTTGTGATGAGGTTATGTCAGTGAAGATGGGAGAGAATGTTGAACCAGTGACAGAATATTTAAAATGCCCCTCTAAAAACAGCTCTGTTTCTTTTGAATTGTTTGATGACCAACTGCCCTCTAGAGAGAAGACTTTGCATATTTTGGGTCATTACAAAACATGTCAATTACAGGAAATTAGAGGTGTATCTTATTATGTAATAACTTGTCCTGTGTTGAAGTAGTGTGGCTTACATTCTTGAAGAGAAATATATTGAAATGCTTTCTTACAGCCATAACTTGACATACATGTATTTAGATTTATGCTTTTATGAAAACTGGAAAACTGATATTTTCTGAAATAGGGAAGAGGAGTCTTGAAAGGCAGAACCAAATAGGAAGAAGCAGATGTAGTTTGAGTTGGCTTTTTTTTTTTTTGTCCTTTTTCTGACCATTTTTCCTTTTCTTTGTATAAACCCGTTTATAAAATCAGTGTTGAACAGCTCGCTTTTATTGTTTTAACTAAAACTACAGAGGAGGACTCCATGCGGTTTTGTGCAAATAGAGAATGAAAAAAGGTGGTTATTGCTGCAGACAGCATACAGTCTGTAAGGACTGTATGGAGATGGATACAGACAGATGGTGAGTGAACGAAAAGAATGAGGCACTCTTGGTCAGCCTGATGGATTCTGGCCACTTCACAGCAATTCCCTGACTGTTGGCCATTTATCCAAGCATCGCGACAACAGAGAGCTTTAAGGGGGAGGTGAGAATGAAAGAACAAAACTGTATTGTGAGTGTTGACTGCAAGGTGCAGTATGGGTCACAGCATGGACATGTTTAAATTTTAAACAAGTGGTGAATGAAGGGCAGCAGGAAGGCGATAGGCTCCAGTCTTTGGAATTGGCTGAGAGACCACAGAGTGGGATTTTTGTACAGATGAGGTCCAGCGTGAGGGGATTCTGCATTTAGTGATGCGAGTGTCCTAGCAGCAAATCTGTTGGTGAACCCCCCTCGCCTTAATGGTGCCAGAGCTGCATAAACTCTTGCACAGGATCTGTATACAAAGCTGTATATGGGACTATAACTGTTGATTAGTTGGATACTGGTGATTTTGATTATAATAATGGTTATAATCCCAAAGCTCTTATGTCCAATTAAATCCAAATTACATTCAAAATAGTAGCCTTGGATTTTATGGTGAAGATGGGCATGTGATTTCTTAGACGCATATGGAAGAGTAGTTGTCCAGAAAGTCATGTAGTGAAGATGGGATAATTCTACTGTAATCCTTTAGTGTTTTGTTGTTGACAGGAAGTTTTGTTGTGGTTATTCTTCAGATCTCCTGGAGGCTCAGAAAGTGACTGAGACCTGAATATAATCTGCAGGATGGTAGGCAGTGTGGTGATGGGACCATTGATGTAGGTGCTACACTGGGCTGTACTTGTCTGTAGACAAGCCACTCCCTTTTCTATGTCAGTTGGTGCTTTGAGATTTTTTTTGTCAAGTACAAAAATGGTTGCAAAAGTCAGTGGAGGCATAGGTCAGTTGAAGTTCAGTGCTAAGGTGAATGTATTTTTCTCTTCCTTCCCCCCCTTAGCAATATCATAGCAGCTTCAAAATAATCAAACCTGATCTCCTACATGTGGAAGTTGCTTGTAGTTTATAGTAGTAGAAGTTGTGTCAACTGCAACTCATTTGACTTCTGCTTAAGAAGTGGAAAATTAGTTCTTTAAATTTTTGGCAGTGTTTATGCAAATTATAATTGATACTTAGCTCAATCACTGTAGCAACAGGGAATGTTACATAAATTGTTATTCTTCCCTTGAGTCTGTGATACAATAAGTGTTTCGGAGCACTTCAGCTTAAAATTTTGTGGAACATTGTAGGAAATAGAGCAAATATTCAGTAAGTGATCCTGCAGTAATGAAAGTAAAAAAGCTACTGTTTGGACAAAAAAAGTTTTTTCATTAATTTTTCTTTATCAATGGTTGTTCTTTTTAAATTTTCCCACTGGGTAAGTCGGTTTCTCAGCCCTCTAGTCAATCAGTTACCTGGTAGAGGTGATCTGCTTTTCAAGAGATACTATTCCATTAAATAGGAAAATAAATGGATAGGAGAAAATTTAAGTATAATTTTGAATACCATAGCAATTAGTTTAGTAATTTTTCTGATTCTACTTTATACAGAATTACAGCTTTTAAAGATAATGTGTAAGTTGCTCACTTTAATCTGCTTGTGTTACTACAGAAATCAAATAACTTTTCTTGCCCAGAAGGGCTTCTTCTTCAATAACTTGGAGAAATCATGGAGTTATTTCTATGTCATACTTCAGCTTCTTAAAGAGAAGAGGAAGATAAGTGTTTTTATCTAGGAGGATGTTTTTGTGGTATCTGACACAATGTCAGTCATGGGTTAAATTTTATTCTGCCTATTCAATGCTTTATGTACTAATGCTGTGTTCTCTGTTACCAAGTTCAGTCTCAGTCTAAACTCTGCAACAGAGTAATTCTCTGGAATATATTATCTGAGTCAAGACCAGGTTGGGCGAGGCCTTGGGTGATATGATTTGGGGTAAGGTGTCCCTGCCCACGGCAGGGGGGTTGGAACTAGATGATCTTAAGGTCCTTTCCAACCCTAACTATTCTATGATTCTATGATTATCTGATGTATCTGATACTATAAGAAAACCTATTTGCAGTCTGCATTAATGTATCTGGGTACTTCATAAAAAGCAGAGAACTAGTTATGCTGGACAATATGCTGTGTTTAAAGTTTTCATATTCCTGCATTGTTTTTGTTCATCAGTATCCTGAAGAAAATCTTAATTTATGATGGTGTAACAAGACCAAGCAATTATGCAAATTACTGGTATACTAACATAAATTCCAAACATTGTCTTGACCTGTCCAGTTTCTTTGAGGCTGTCCTGTGTAAGTCTATTCTAGAATAATCTTCTATTTGCTCCTCGTGATCCTTGCTTTTTTAAAAAAATCAGCTTGTCATTTTGCACAGTGCATGGGGCTTTCTCGGGTAACTGAATGCTTGTGTCTGTTAACTCTTTGTTAAAAACATCAGAAAAAATTACCAGATGGAGGCATTTCAGCCAGGAAGTATCTAGCAAGAACAGATTTGGGTGAGGGAAGTCCTGTCACCAAAGTTAGCATGCAGAATTGAGTGAAAGGCCAATCCTCTGTGCCTTGCTCAGCTTTCAGAAGGGGTGTAGGATTTCCATGTACTGTGTTATCTAGATTCTTCTAAAAGAATTTCTTAGCTCTCTATTTACTAGCTTTTCAAGATTATTATACTTTACTTGTCAGCTCTAGAGACTGAAAGGGGAGCGTGAGCTTCTGATTTTCCTCTCTTCATAGTCTTCGGGTTGCCATGACTGTATTGCTTTTTATACACAGAAACAGCCTTCTGTTGTTTGTGAGGGGAAGGATGGGAGTGGATTTTTATTGCTGTTCTTAATAGTCCCTCCTTCTGGTTATTAGAAGTACCTGCTTTCAGCTCCTGCAGATAGCTTTCTTTTACATAGACATAAAGGTGAAAACTATTTGTTTCTCAGTAATTTTACTACAGTCTGTAGACAGATGAGTTTCATAGTTCTTTTCCACATATCTGTTAATCTTACTTAGACCAAGTAGCTGTAGATTTGGAAGCATCTATCTTCCAGTAGGTTGAACAAGAGAATAAGGTTGAATAAGAGAAGAATGCTAGAATTAGCATACCAGTTTTAAATTGCAGAAATGGCAGTCCTTTATAAATAGTAACTTGGTGGTTAGATCTTTAGTAATAATCTCTATTCTCTTCTCTGAAGATGTGTATCACCTTAACAAAGGCAACTCAGATTTGTAAAATATATTTAACCATCAGAAATGTAACTATCAGAAGAGTTATTTTCAACCTTTCTGCTGCTTAAGCTTGTTTCTTTTATAATTCAGCTTTGGTGAAGAGGTGATAAGAGGATTGATGGGTGGAACACTTGTTCATCAGACATGAAAGCAGAT